TTCCCTCACAACATGACTACCTCATGTCTGTTTGAGGCCGTGATGGGACTCCTGTGTCCGCCGTCCACTTCAGCCATCGTCCTCCTGCCCCTACTTCTCCGTGCCTCTGTAGACCCCATCCCCATCCCCAGGCAGACTGCACACCCCCAGTGCAGGTTTGGAGAAGACCTTTCAGCTTCCCTTGCATCTTTCTCCCTGGGATTGAGACTGGAGGGTTCTCCTTAGAGAGGATGAATGCAAGTCAGACTTGGGGGTTTTGAGACAGGGATACAATTATTCCCTCCCTTCCATGTGGTAAGTCTGGTTTGCTGGGCAGAGGCGTTTGAGGCACCTTCCTTCCCAGCTGGAGCTTGAAAGGGAGAAGGGGGTGAGAATTAGGGGCCGGGGAGCCCCTTCGCTTCCCACTCTCTCCCCCTTGACCAGAAACTGATGGGTGGGGCTGGGAGGGATCTCATCCTCTAGGGTGTTGGAAGTAAGGTTTTCGCACAGGACAAGGGTGATGGGCTCATCTCATTTTGCTCTTTCTTTAAATTCAATCCTGAAGTCATTTTTTGTTGACACCCCCCCCCCAACCACCCCACACACACAGGGACAAGCCTGACTTGTTTCATTTATTTGATTTTGCACCTCAGCCTCTCATAGGAGCATTTAGTACTTGCTCTCTTCTCCTTGAATTCATCTTTTTTCACTGAGCAGCAAGCACATCAAGGGTTAACTCTGGCTTCTGAGCCAAATTAGAAATAACCAGTCTATCTTTCCTTTTTTTTTTTTAATGGTGAAATGTCTCTCAGTGGAGTTGCAGCTTCCTCAGACTCTTTCAGCATCTGTGTTTATTACACGCGGGTGCCACTCAGGTTTGACATCCGCACCTACATTTCCTCCTCCTCCCCCTTCAGGCAGCCTCTGATAACACTAAAGATTATTAATGTTGGTTTTGTATCTCGTTAAGGACAGAACTGTCATTTGTACTATTTCTGTAGCATTCGGCATTGCTGTGGCTAACACTACTGTATATGTTTCATCACTGCTCTGAAGGTCAAAAGCCTCATTTTATTTTGCTGTTTTTTTTTCTTTTTTTCCTAAAGGAGAAAAAAAAAAAACTGTCCTGAATTAAATGGCTGTTTTAACAGTAGGCTCTTAGCGTTACACCACATAGTCATTTTTCATGTTCTTGTTTAACAGGCACTGAGGTTCTGGTTTAAATTAAATAGCTGCAAATGAGACAATTTATAACCCATTAGGTTGGGTGGAAAATTGTTTCTCAAAAGCAAATAAGTAATAAATCTGGTATCTGCCTATAACTCACAGTTGATAAGAACGTGGCCATTACTCACTAGCATTATATATGATTTGGGCTCCGGGTAATTTGGAAGTGTTAGGTTTGTGTCTTTGTAGCAGTATTTTTATTAGAAAAGAGTCCATTGGCCTTTTACAGGGTATTAATCCTTTTGTCACCTACCATGGATGCCTTATGGTTTTTGAGTCTCATTTAAAAACCTTTTCTTGATGCATGACAAGTATAATCGGTACCTGCTCATTTATTTGTCTGTAGTTTTGCTGTATTATTTAATTATTTTTCCAGCATTTTTTCTCCTTACAATTATCATATTCTTTAGTGTTAAGCCAATGCATTGATCATATATCTGTCCCTGTAATGAATTAATAAACTATTTTCCAAAAATGTTCTTGTTTGTGGAACCAAGTGACTAGAACTTCTTCAGCCTTTCTGCCCTAGAGAATGTATTTCTTACCAGGATGGGAAATGTTAAGTTTTGAGCAGAAGAGCAGGTGGTTATAAGAAAGAACTGGACTTTCTGTAAAGAAGAGGGAACCTTTGTACACTGTTGATGGGAATGTAAACTGGTGCAGTCACTGTGGAAAACAGTAAGGAGGTTTCTCAAAACACTAAAAATGGAACCACCATATGACCCAGCATTTCCACTCCTGGGTATATAATAAAACAAAAACACTAATTTGAGAAGATACGTGCATGTCAGTGTTCACAGCAGCATTATTTACAATTGCCAAGATATGGAAGCATCCTAAATGTTCATCAACAGATGAGTGGAGAAAGACAATGTGGTATGGTTAAGCAATGGAATGCTACTCAGCCACAAAAGAGAATGAAGTTTTGCCATTTGAAACAACATGGATGGATTTGGAGGGTATGCTAAGTGAAGTAAGTTAAAGACAAATACTATATAATATTACTTATATGTGGAATCTAAAAAATACAACAAACTAACTAGTGAATATTAAAAAAAAAGAAACAGACTCAGTGATATAGAAAACAAACTAGTGGTTACCGTGGGGAGAGGGGAAGGAGCAAGAGAGGGGTAGGTCCATACTACTATGTATAAAATAAGCTCCACGGATATGTTGTGAAACACAGGGAATAGAGCCAAAATTTTATAACTATAAATGGAGTATAACCTTTAAAAATTATGAATCACTGTATTCTACACTTGTAACATATAATATTGTATATCAACTATATTTCAATAAAGTAAAAAAAATAGGTTACTCAGACTCCTAGGATAGGAACTCCTCTCCCCACCTCAAAAAAGGAGCTGAACCGCTCCCTCCCTCAACAGGTACTTAGAAAAAACACCTAAACTTAGGAAAGATGCTTTCTTTGATGTCATTCTTTTAGGCTCTTCAGGGATCTCTTTTCATCTGGACACACATTTTTTTAACTTTGTCAGATGCAAGGGAGGAGTGAACCACCAAATTCCAGAGACAGGGTTGGACAAATCTTCTGTATAAATCTGGCTTCCAAAATTGCCCGTGACGCCCATTCACACATATGGGCACAGTGCCTATGAGCTCAGAGACCCACGCATGGCACCCTCACCTTCACAATCATGCTGGTGTCCGTTAACTCAAACCTAGGCACAGCAGTCATACACCAGACTCCACGCTTACACCTCACACACATCTCAGGATTACAGTTGGCAACTTGCTCTGCTAGGATCTTTATAGTGCCTAGACCACGGGTGTTTTTCTACTGCTGGGAACCAAGAACCAGTGGGCTTCCTGCCCAGGACCACCCCCAAAGTGGCTGGTGAGCCAGCCCTGAGTTAATTGACACATTGTAGGGGGAGATACTGCACATTTTGCATGCAGGAGAATAGCCATTATTTGCATATCACTCTCAGACCAAGCGTTGTGATAAAGAAGAATTAAACACTTGTCAAAATGAATTTAAAATGACAGCAACTCAGGACACCAATTTGACCTCTCCTGAGTCTAGGACAAGCCAAGAAGGGGTTGTTGAGAATTCAGACCCTGCAGGAGGGAGTTCCAGGCCTTTCGGCCCAGGGAGGGCCCCCACCCCTCCCTTTCCTATGGCCAGTAGAGGCTCATGCTTCCTGCCCTTCCTTGTAAGGAAATTGGCTTGGGACTTCGGTGTGTTCCCTGACCCTGAATTTCTCCATTGCTTCCTACTGCTTGCTCATATGTCTCAAGTCATATTCATGTTCATCTTCCAGTCGCTACTACAGAGTCCCTGGGCTGCACAAACCCCATCACTAGTAAACTTACCTGATTTCTGGAGGCCCTTTTTAACCTATCTGCATCAGTTAGTTTTATATATGTTAACACTTCTGCTCCGCAATTCCAGAGTTGGTATCAAAAGAGAGATGTAATTTACTCTTCTTCCTGACCAATTCAATGCCAATAGCTGAGTGAGGCAGAGACTGCTCTCTTTAAACCTCCTGCTCCTCGAACTTAGTAGAGGCTCAGTAATTTTGATGGACTAGCACATCATGCTGAACTCAACAGAAGATCATTTAATAGCGAGTGGCCAAGACTGATGATCTCTGCAGGCTAGCGTGGGGCTGTATCTCCTAAGAGGCATGCCTATCTCCCATAACAATCCTTACCTGAGACTGATGTTGTCTCCTTTTACGTTCTGACATGAAACATTGAGTCTTTGTGGCATAGAAGTGTTATTGGGAATTTTTAACTTCCAGTGTGCTATTCCAGTTAATCAGGTCATTTGTCATGACCTGTGTCCTTTACATTTCCTTGAAAGTGAGCAGGGAAGATGGGATATCTTTATCTTTCAGATGAGCTCTGAGAGTGACTGCCTGGGTTTGCTGAACTAAACAGCAGGGAGAAGTGGGGCCAGAATCCGGTTTACTTTAGCGTTCTCATTGTCCTGTTAGGTCTGCTCTCTCAGGGCCCTGGACGAAGCCGCCTTCCTACTCTTCCTCCCTCCTCTCCACCCAAGCGCCAGAACTCTTCGGTCTAAAGAGGCCAACCTTGCAGCTAAACGTCCTAACCTTTGGGTGAAAGAACTAGACACCCATGGAAAACCGAATCTTTGACAACTTTGTGCAGCTTTTAGGGAATTATCTCGACAATACAGACTTGGACATGGTGCAGGAGGACGCAGCAGAAAGAGTAGGTAGGAGAGGATCCGACAGCTTTGCGTGTTTCTCCGCAACCCGGACCTACTCCGCAGTCCACTGGGTTTCCACTCCCCCAGCCCCCCAAGTCCGGAGCTGGCCCGTGGGGAGGGGTCGGGGGCTGCAGCTCTGGATGGCGCCCGCCGCTCCGGCCCCAGTTCAAAGCGCAGGGGGCGCGTCCGCCGCGCAGCCGGGAATGTCCGGCCGCTTAAAGCGCTCGCCGGCTCTTTTGTTCCCCAGACCCGGCCTCCGGGGAGAGGGGGCTGGGGGAGGGGACCGGGAGGGGAAGGAAGAGGGGCGGCGGGCGGCGGGCGGCGGGAGGAGGGCGGGGCGGGTGGTGCGAGTGCGGAGCGCGCACCCCGGGCGAGGCTGACAGATCGCCCGGGTGGGTGCAAGATGGCGCAAGCGGCCGCGCTCGCCCTGCGCCCCCGGCGCTCCTAGGCAGGCATGTGGCCCCAGCCCCCAGCCGCCCGGGCTCGGCCCCGGCCGGAGCCCCGGCCCCGGCCCCGGCGCCGGCCCCGCGGGACACTGTGAGCCGCGAGAGGCCCCAGAGCCGCGCGTCGCCGATCCGAGCGGACCGCGAGCCCCATGGCTGCCTCGCGCGCCGCGCCCCCGCGCCGCCGGCCCCGGCTCCTGCTGCCGCTGCTGCCGTTGCTACTGTTGCCTGCGCCAAGCGACGGTGAGCTAGGGCGCCCGCGGTGCGGCTGCTGGGGACCGAGCCCCGGGAAGGGCGAGAAGGGAGTCAGCGGGCGCGAGGGGCGGACCTGCCGGCGGACCGCGGGCTGGAGGGACTTGCCCAAGAAGGGGAGACGAGCGGGACGGGGCGGAGCCGGGGGACGGGGCACGGAGGCCCGGCTGCCGGGAACGCGGAGCCAGAAGATGCTGAGGATGGAGCCCCCAGGAGAGGGACCCGCATTCAGTCCGCTGCGGCTCCGAGAATCAGTAGTGTCCGAGCCCGGGCCAAGCGGCAAGGAGCGCGGCAAAGCAGGAGACCGGCGGGCAGGCTGGAGTCGGGGAGAGGGGGAACGAGCCTTGGGAGACCGCAGGGCTGAGTCCCGTCCGAGGGGCGAGTTGGGGAGCGCGGAGCCCGAGGGTGGGCACAAAGTGGCCCGCGGTGGCCGAGGTTAGGAGACCGCCGACCCCGGAGATCGCCGATCCCGGGGGCGGAGTCCGGGACTGAGCGGGCTGCGACGGGTGAAGAGAGCGCATCGTGGATTTGGAGAGGGACTGGGACGCGGAGTGCGAGGGAGCGATCGAGGAAGAGGGAGGTCTCCGGATTGCCGCGCGTGGGGAGGGGGAGGCTCCCTGCGAGCTGAGGAAAGGAAAGAGAAGCCGACCGAGGGCGAGAGAGCGGCGGGGATGCTCACGTGCCCGCCCTGCCCGGAGGGTGCACACGCAGAGCTCGGGGTCTGCCGGCTTTGCTGCCCGGAGCTCCGTCACCACCACCCTGTTCCCTCAGGGACTGTAAGGGGCCCACTTCACGCGAGAGAGGTGAAAATCTAGTCGCTTCTTCTCCCACCCCAAGTTCTCAGCAGATGCTCCTCTGGACAGTATTCTCTCCCCTCTTAGCTCCGGAGAAGCAGGATGTCGCAAGCGTATCTAGTAGAAAGTTTATCCATCCCCCAGTTGCTATTAAAATACCGGGTTTGGGGTGAGGAGCCGAGGCAGCTGAAACCCAAGTCTTGGGAAGGATGGGTAGGGATCTGAAGGGGCGTGACCCTCAAATATCTTAAAGTACGAATTACTTGTCCCTGAGGGTGGGGGAAACGCCCCTAACCGCAGCGCTCCTCCTCCTCCTTTCTCCCTCTCACTGCCCCTTCTCCCCGCAGCCAGGGAGGGCGCTGGACTGTGAAGGGAGGGACCCGCTCCCGTATCACTAGTTGCCGGGAAATGTGGAGGGGTCTGTGGCTGCCTTCTCAGCCCAGGTGGGTTCATTTCTCTAGGGTTGAAGTTATAACTGGTCTAGTAAGTTGCTCGCTGGAGAAGTAGGAGACTTGGCATCATGCCTGGGACTGGAGCTCTCGTCCCTCCTCTCCCACTTCTGATTCCCTGATCACCCTTGTCTTCTCCCTTCTCTTCTTCCCCTTCGTCTTTCCCTTTTCCAGTTCCGTTCTCTTCTGCAGGAGTGAAGAGGTTGCTGGGAGAAAGGTTCTAGGAGCCTCCTTCTTTCTGAATTTTGAGAAATCTGAGTAATGTTTGGTATCCCTCATCCTCATTATGACAAAGGCAAAACAAACGGAACTGCCAAACCCCAGAGCATCCTAGGGGTGGGGCCGTGGAGCTGGACCTTAACCTAGCCTGTACCCAGTCCTGGACCCACACACCCTTCTCCCTATTCAGATGGTGTTGTCAGCAAAAAGAAGCACCGATTTATTACTATCTAACTTTATATTTGTTTAGAAATTTTAACTTTTCATAGTGCCTTTACATCTGTAGGTTATATTTAACATAGGGCTTCCCTGGTGGCTCAATGGTAAAGAACCCACCTGCCAATGCAGGAGACATAAGAGACGTGGGTTTGATCCCAGGTTGGGAAGGTCCCCTAGAGGAGGTCACGGCAACCGTCTCCAGTATTCTTGCTTGGAGAATTCCATGGACAGAGGAACCTGGCAGGCCACAGGTCATGGGGTTGGGAAGAGTTGGACTGAAGTGACTGAATGACTGAAGTGACTTAGCATGCACGAACAACACAAGCCATATTGTCGTTGCTTAATTAAACAAACGAGGATGGAGAAGCCAGGGCAGATTGAACACTTTACCTGAGGTCACACTCTGAGAGCCTGTGAGGCTTCAGTGTTTAACCAGGTGGCCACAGAAGTGGCAGCAGCTATGCTGGAATCAGTCTTGCTTTTAGGTCCCAGATTTGTAACTATTAACTCTGAGGTCTCCGACAAGTTGCTTAACATCTCTGGGCTTCAGTTTCCTTTTCTGTAAAAGATATGAATAAAGACCTCGTGCCACAATTAAAAAGTCCATGCACCACAATGAAGATCTTGTGTGCTGCAATGCAGCCAAGTAAATAAATATTTTTTAAAACATACAAATAAAAGAAAGGTGGTAGAAATACTATCCATCTCTCTGAGACGGTCTGTTGATTAAGTAAGTGTATTGAATGAGATGACCCTTCATAATGCAGAAATTTCTATATATTAATAGAGATTCCAATTAATACCACAGAATGATGGGGATGGGACACTCAGATCCAGAGAACTTGGAAGCCCTGTGTTTTCAAGTTCATCCCACACTAACTTCTCCTTTTACTCTCTCTCTGCCTCCTGATGCAGGTCTTGGCCACTCTGCTGAACTGGCATTTGCCGTGGAGCCGAGCGATGACGTTGCAGTCCCTGGGCAGCCCGTGATGCTGGGCTGCAAGGTGGAGGGGACCCCTCCAGTGCGAATCACCTGGAGGAAGAATGGGGTGGAGCTGGCGGACAGTACCCACTCCACTGTGCTGGCTAATGGGTCCTTGATGATCCGCCACTTCCTGCTGGATGGAGGAGGCGGCCCTTCAGATGAGGGGGACTATGAGTGTGTGGCCCAGAACCGCTTTGGGCTGGTGGTCAGTCGGAAGGCTCGAATCCAGGCTGCAAGTAAGTGGGTGCCCTTACTTTTTTTTTTCCAGGTCATGGAGGGATAAAGGGAGCAGTTCCATCTTATGTAGCTTCTGGAGAACTAATGTCTCAGCATGGGTCAGTTGAGAGGAGCATAGCAGCAATTTGCAGTGGTGGAATTATATCATTTACATATTTAACTGATTGGAATGCAATTTGACAAGAATGTAGCCAAACATTGTTGTAGGAAGAGGGAGGGAGAAAGCCAGCTTTATTCAGCTCTTGGTTCCGTGTGTCTTAGCTTCCACATGCCTGTATATTATGAGCATCCCAGTCTTTTGAGTATGATTTTTGTGTTTAAAGATAAACTTTGGGGGTGATTTAAGAGGATTTTGAAGGGTAATTTTGATGACATGCAGTTTTTAATTACGTGCTGACTTTCAAACCTTTAGGGTAGAATAAACCTCACTGTACCAGTGATAACATTCTGAAGCTTCAGCGATTTGCTTTACAAAAAATATGATAGAATAATTTCAGGGTTAACACAGTAATGACATTCCTCTCACTCACCTTCCTGCTTGTGTACTTAAAAAAAAATTTCAGCTTTACTGAGGTGTGATTGATAATAAAATTATAAGATATTTAAAGCATACATTGTGATGACTTGATCCTTGGTATGCTTTTTTGATTGGGAGAAGCACATCTCTAGAACTGTGCTTAGCTGATGGACCATCAGTCATTGTGGTGATGAAATGATGGTCGTGCTCTCCTGCTCTGTCCTACCAGAAGTCTGCTGTTGCTGTTTAATCTGTGTACACTCATAGGTATTATCACATAAACCAAAATTATGTATCATGGGAAGGTGGCAAACTATGAGGGTGGGAAGTCTGCTCACAGACTTCTTGTTCTTTCTTTTTTTTTTGGCTATGTTGCACAACATGTGGAATCTTAGTTCCCTGACCAGGGATCAAATCTAAGTCTCCTGCATTAGAAGCAGGGAGTCTTAACCACAGGACTGTCAGGGAAGTCCCAAGAACCACTGTTTTTGAGAAAGAGTAAAAGTTTTGCCAAGTGGAAAATGTTCCGCATCCCATAATCTCTGTACTTGTGGGTGGTGTCTTGAGGTGGTGTCCCTTAAAAAGGCTGCTTTAATTTTGGTTGGTAATCATTCAAACTAATGCTTATTAAACAGTTGCTGCATACTGGGCACCCTGCCCAGGTGCTTTATATGAATTATCTTATTTAGTCATCGTGATCACACTGGAAGATAGGCAGTCATCACCCTCGTTTTACAGATGGGAACACTGAGACTCAGAGGTGAGCAGAGAAGCCAGGACTGCAGTTTAGGGATTCTGAATCCTGCACCCTCCCACTTAACCCTTGTGGCATGCTGCCTCTTCCCCGTCTGATCACTGACCAATTTCTTCCTGGCTCCAAGGGCGTTTGCACAGTTGCTCTGAACGGCTGGAAGGTGATGAATTGTTCTGAGGCAAGAGGCCTCTCGTTGGATTTAAGATGCCCCTTTGTTCTAAGGAAGGCTCCTCTAGGCCCCCATATGGAGCTCTCTGGGAAGCAGCCCTGGACCTTGAGACAGAATCACTTCTGGCTCAGCAACCCCTATCCTCCGGCCCTCCTGGCAGGGCAGGGGAAGGCTGGTGCGCCCTCTGAGCAGATGGCTGGGTGTGAGGAGGAAAAGTGGGGACAGAGAGTGGGGACCCAAGGAATCTTGTCGGACAGGAGAGAAGAGACTTCTCAGGGAGCTCGCCCTGGCCTGTGTCAACTCTGAGGGTTTGATGGCTCCTGCATCACCAGCCTAGACTTCTGGGAGATAAATCCCCAGGTGTTTATATAGAGCTAATTGTAAATGTGCTTTTTCTATAAATGGTAATACCTTCAAGATGTTCAGCCTCCTTAAACTCCTAACAGTATAAGCAGTTGAACTGTGGGCTCTGGCTGCGGGGAGGCCCAGTGGGTGCGGTCGGCTTGGTTAAGCCTCTGGGGTCCTGGGGACAGCTGGGGGTTTGCCTCCAAACCCTGGCAGCCTGATACAGGCTCTCTCCCCAGCAAGGCTTATGGCCCCTCGGGGAAGGCTTAGACCGTTGGATCCCCTTTCCTCACGTCACAGGCTCATGTCCCTGTGAGGTTTTAGAAACCTGCAAAGCTGATTAGCTGCCTGGGTTCTCTCCTTTGGTAACAACGCTGTGCCCATGTGCCTGCGGGCCGGGCAGATGTCATATGACATGGGAGGAGGCCTTCTGAAAAGGTGTGAGGTGCTCTCTAGAGCCCCTGCTTCTCCTGCCTGCTCCACGGGGGCTGACAGTGCTGGAGGATGCTAAGCACCCCTCACAGACACACAATCCACCCAGTGCAGCAGGGAGGCAGATCGGTGTGGGGCCGATGGCTGGGAATGCCCCCCCTTCCATCCAAGTGGGCCTGGATGCTGTCATTGAAAGATGGCCTGACCGTTATGGACTAGAGTCCAGGCCCATTCCTTGGGGGCTTCAGTGGCAAATGTCTCCTGTCTGGGATGGAGTGGCTTAGGGTCCTAGGAATAGTCATGCTTCCAGCATGTCTGGTTTCTCTGCCTTGCTCTTCCATGTGTTCATAGTTTGGGGGCTGAAAATTGCAACACTTGTGACGGAAGAGATCCTAGACAAGTTAATCTCTCCATGGCCCAGTGTCCTCACCTGTGAATTGTACATATAATCCTACTTTGTGGGATGGTGGTAAGGACGAACACTCCACGCTTTGCCTGACACAGAGTTGGTACTCAGTAATGGAGTCAGTCCTCTTTGTTTCTTTTAAAGGCGATTCCAGTCTTATGGCTCAGCTGCTAAAGAATCTGCCTGCAATGCGGGAGACCTGGGTTCGATCCCCCTGGGAAGATCCCCCGGAGAGGGGAAAGGCCACCCACTCCAGTATTCTGTTCTGGAGAATTCCATGGACTATACAGTCCATGGGGTCACAAAGAGTTGGACACGACCGAGCAACTTTCATTCCCAGTGACTTTGCCAGCAAAAGCAGACTCCTGAATCCACTTCCAGCCCCCAGCTTTCTCCCCCACTGGGATTCAGTTAGGGAGTACTCCAGGGAAATCTCTCAGGGAGTGAATCTCTCACTTCAGAGCTGGAGTGCAATGTGTTCTGTTTTAACCCCTTCCTGGGAGGGTCTGGGGATTCTCCCAAGCCTCTGGGCATCTTCTAAAGCTTGGCTGCCCTGTGAGACCCTCTACCATCCCCCTGGAGAGGCTCCAGGAAGGGCATGTGGGACACCTGATCCAGTGGGAATAGGCAGTGACTCACACCTGTTGAGATCTGTGTGCCTGGATGACTCCAAAGAGGGATGGGCTGGCTACAAGGAGGGGAGATAAGTGGGGGGAGCCACCCCAGCTCCCCTCCACCCCCAGCCCCCCTCCACCCCCATCCCACTTCAGGCAGATTCTCTTAGTTCCTGCTGCTCACTTTCTGGCCTCAGTTCCTGGTCTCGAGCCCTTTGGGAGATGGCGTAAAGAGGTAGATGATCTGGAACACAATTTGTCAGACTTTGCTGTGAATTTACCTGGAGATCTTGATAAAATTCAGATTTTGAATCAGAAGGTCTTGGCCAAGGCCTGGGGGTTCTGCAGGCCTAATGAGATCCCTGGTGATGCCAACAGTGCTGGTCGACAGGTGTGAGAGGAGAGCCCCCTCCCACATCATAGTTGCTAGTGTAGGCGTGTCTGTGGGCAGTACAGTGAAGTCTGGAGAACATGGGCTTCAGGGTCACATCTGGGTAGGTTTGAACCCCAACTCTGCCACTCACAGATGCCATGTCCTTAGCACCAGTTACTTTAACTCTCTTGAGTCAAATGAGCCTGTGCCTTCATTTGAAAAGAAAAAGGAAAAGCATAATCCCATCATCCTGTCAGGGCTGTTGGAGAATTAAGTGAGATGATGGATGGAAAGTATCTGGCCCAGGGCTTGGCCTCTAGAAATGCTCATTAAATATTATTGTTAGTATTAGGTTTGCTGTTGCTGTTGTTTAGTCGCTAAGTTGTGTCCGACTCTTTGCAACCCCATGGACTGTAGCCCTCCAGGCTCCTCTGTCCATGGGATTCTCCAGGCTAGAATACTGGAGTGGGTTGCCGTTTCCCTCTCTAGGGGATCTTCCTGGCCCAGTGATCAAACCCACATCTCCTGCATTGGCAGGCGTATTCTTTACTCTGAGTCACCTGGGAAGCCCCTAGTGATAGGTATTGAGCACTGATTTAGGATGAAGACAAGCCTGTTCCAATGCAGGTAAGATTCTCAAAGTGCCAGGATTGCCTCCCCCGCAGCCCGGAGCCATCCTGACTGGGGTGCCCAATGATGGTTATGAGCGTAGGCTGTGGAGGGAAATAGACCCTCAGCTGGATGGACTTGGGTAAGTCACCAGAATCCCTGAGTCTCAGTTTCCTCATCTTTAAACTGGAGGAAATAATACTTAGCAAGGAGGACTGCTCGGAGGATCCCGCATGACAATACGTGTAAAGAACTTAGCACAGTGCAAGGGCACACAGAGAATGTTTCTTAGATACTATTATTATTCTGGGGTGACAACAAAGGTGACACATGTGAAGGTCTAAGCTTCTTTAGGTATGGGTTCCAGGAGGGTCCCTGGCGAGCCTGGACTCCTGGTAAGAGGCAGTGGGGTGTGGTGAGAGGGAGGGAAGTGCAGGTCTAGTCCCCCGCTGTCTCCACCTTAAGGCCCTCAGTCACCCTCTCCTGAAGTCTGAACCATTCTCAAGCTGTCTGAGCAAGGGCAGTTTCGCCAGCTACTCTGAAATCCCTTCCAGCAGCAAGCTCCATGCCTGTGTGGATGTGGGGGCAGGGTCTCGGCGCAGATCTGTGGAGCCAGGTCTGGGTGGGCAGGCTGGGAAAACTATGAGCTGCTGGGTGGCACAGCTTGTGTGGTGGGCTCAGGATATTTAGGGGACCCTGGCGGTGCCTCAGTGTAGGGCAGTGGGTTGTGCAGGAGAGTGGTTCCTGGCACACTGGCTCTGACCCTGGCGGCCTGGTGTG